AAAAAATAACACTGGGCGTGTACTACCACAGCAATGGGTTTTCGGCGGAATTTGCCGAGAAAAGAAAGAGACTTTTTTTGGTTACTGTACCTAACAGAAGCGCCGTTACCCTCATGGAAAAAATTTGCGAAAATATCAAGGAAGGAAGCATCATTTATTCGGATTGCTGGAAAGGATACAATACAAGTGAGTTCGAAAATGCTGGATTTCTGCATGGAACTGTTAATCACAAATATAACTTTGTGGATCCCAACACGGGCGTTCACACACAACATGTAGAGCGCATGTGGGGCTCAGCCAAATGGCGCAACAAAAAAACAGAGAGGAACAGCCCGTCATCATCTTGACTCATACCTTATCGAATTTATATGGCGCCAAGCTCAAGCTGTTAATGGCGAAGACGGTTTTCAATCAGTGCTAAAAGCAATAGCCAAAAGATTTCCGCCGAAAAAATAATTCTGCAACTTATTCAAATTCGAAACCGGAAGGGTTTAATTGCTATTTTATATTTTAAAACAAAATAATATAAAAAACTGTATTAAAAATTATCTGTAATTAATAAATGTACATTTTCTTTCTATTCATACTTTTTTACTCAAACTTACAAATCGCGCCAACCTGGTTGCGATAATACTAAGACGCTTTTTGTTAAATTATGTAACTTTCAGAAGTTTCCAAATTGTTTTACCAAAGATTTTGTACAATAATAAAATTTCATATGTTATATGTTAACTTTGTTATACTTATAAGTAATGTACAGATCATAATTAAATGCCAGATTAATTTTTCAAACTGCAGATTGGTATTTTTGCTTTCATTGAAAACATCAAAATGGATGTACGTGTAAAATTTGAATTTGTTTGGCAAGGTGAAATTCCAATAGTATGTGGATTTGTGTCTTTATATAATATAGTTTATGCAAACAAAAGCAAGCTCTTATGATATAAGTCAGTTGCATTTAAGAAATATACAGCTTACAATCGTTACACAAAATATAATAAATATCAAACATCTTTAACATGACTCATCCTCCCATTTTAGGTCAATATTATTTCTTACTGCTGGATAGAAATTTCTATTAAAATTTTATATGCTGAATATGAAGGTTTATATATTCAGGAAAAACACGACTATTGATTTGACCATTTGTCATTTTTTATAAAAATGTTTTTCTATGTAATTTTATTCCATAGTACTGTTTTGTTTTTTAAAACAGTATTTATTCCTTTATTATAAATAAAATGACAAAATAATCATATTTATCACAATATGGTTTATTTTAAATCCCCCCTTTTTTTTTTAATTTTTTTTTTTTTTTATTATTAGCACTTATTTTTATTTTTCGCCTTTTAGGGGTTTCATTCTGTCCATCAGAATATATAAGTGAATAGTAAAAACTGATGTTGAGAGGATGAAGGATAATTGAATTTCTGTTAAATATTCTAAAAAAATATAAATTTAATACAGATCTCCACTTTGCAAAAGAACAGCACTGCTGTAAAATCTTTAATAAGACAAAATGGTAAAAAGTAATAAAGCAGCTAAGGTGAATTTATATAGAAAAATTAATCTTTATTAAAGGATATTATACAGAATCCTTTTTTTTAAAAAAAAAGGACAGCTATTAAATCATCATTGGCATTTATTTCTGTATGGTTAGCTTCTGTGCTTGTGTTTCAGAATATGATGCTAATGTCTGAAATGTTGGCTCATACCTGATACTCTGAAGAAACTTATGGAAATGATTCACCACGAAAATTTTATCACAAATGAAATCATGAATGCTTAGGAATATGCAGAGCTAAAATGTCTTACAACTAGTCCGAAGACAGTATGAGAATTATAATAATCTGCCTGGGGAAAATCTTAAAGCTGATAATGTAACCAAAGTCATAGGTAAGGTTTTCAGTGCCCAGCTGAAGTTTTCGCACCCCCTTTTGTTTGCTAAGAACCGGAAAATATTTAATTTTAAAATTTCGTAACATCAGTTTGGCTCCCCCTGGATGAGGACAGATGCCCCCATCCAGGGGCCAAGGGACAGATGTCCTCCCTCACTCCCCTCTAGCTATGCCCCAGGAGGTAACAATGAAAAGAATGTGACATGTGAACCACCATGCATTAATTAAATTAAGGTGACCAATTGTCCTCCTTTGGTAGACTCTGTCCTTCTTCAAGAAGTGTCCTCCCAACTGTCTTCCTTTTCAATATTTTCAAACTAATCTGTTTATCTCTGTATTAGTTTAAGATGCTGCTTTGAAATGTTACACATCAATGGTCATGTGATGGTGCAGTTCGAAAAAACATGATTATAAAATGCACAGACAGAACATTCTGGGCATATCAAAACATCACGCAGCCACACTTGTCATGCACCCTCAAATTTTTGCACACTTTACCCTCGCATTTTTGCGCACTTTATTTTAATGTGTCTATAATATTATAGTTCGCATTTACATCTGATGCAAATACAAATTTCCTTTCACTGTATAATTATTATACTCTGAATATAATAATTGTGACAATATACTTGCAGAAGACTTGAAAAATGCAGTATTTGTAACAGTTTTATCTGAGGCATCGAATCATAATGAAACAAAATTGTATTCAATACTAGTAAGATATTATAATGTTAACAAGGGCACTCACATAAGAATTTTTAATTTAAAATCTATTGAGGGCGAAGAAATTTTGGTGAACCATCTATACAGAGTAATAAATGAAAACAATTTGAAATATAAAGTTGTTGCACTAACAGCAGATAATACAAATATAAATTTTGGTGGGAAAAGATGCAAAAGGAGTAAATAATGTCTATGACCAGATTTACTCTAAAAGACACTAGGCATAGGTTGTAATACACATATTTTGTCAAATACAATAAACATGGCATCATCTGCCATGCCATTTGATGTAGAAGTAATAATAACAACAATTTATTTGTATTTTAGTCGTTTTACGGTTCGTGTGACTGCTTTAAAAAAATTTTGTGAAGACGCAAATGTCCTGCTTTGTTCGCTTTTTGTCCTCTTTTTCATTGTAAAAAGAAAAGGGTCACCTTCATTAAATCATTTTCTTATAATATAAATGTTGTCCTTTTTTAAAATCATATTAATTTCTTAAGAAATAAAACATAAATAAAAGAAACAATCATATGATGAATACATAGATTATGTAGATAGAAGTACATGTATATTCGGTGTAAAAAAAATGAGTCCATTGGAAACTGTAAAGGAGATGGCAGTGAAAATGTAAAGTGAGTTGTGAAATATCTGGTTGTGCAAGATATAGGAGACAGGTTGAAGACCACTTATTAATATCTAAGTATTGAATCCATAAGATCACTATGTCTATAATTTAGGTGCCCCCCCAATGGGTCAAAAAGTTAAAAATTTGTTACACTTTGACTAATGTTTAGGATATAATATACCTAGCTGTTAAAATTGATATCTGCAGATACTTTCTTAAAATTGTTGGTTTCCTTGTTTTTCCTGTTACATTATAATTGGTCCTCTGCAGGCATTATATGAAATAAATGTTGCACCATAATTCTGCTTTCCAACTTTCTTCATAAAAGTGAAAAGATGTAAAAAAGAACAACTTTTTAACCAGAAACAGTAAATTTTACATAAGCTGCAATAATAAGTGTAGTTAAATATAGTAATAAGCAATAAAACCTGTATCTAAAATTATCTAACATTCTCGCACTCAAAATTCTTTAGTTTTCAGTCATCTAAATTTTCTCAGTAATCTGCCGATTACGCCCTAATTTGTAAATAAAGATAAAACAATTGATATCTAAGACACTACTTAACAGTCTTATTTTTATTTTCAAAGAAAATATATCTATACTTTTTGCAAATATGCAGTTTTATGATTGTAAGGACAAATATTGTAGAAATCAACACAGAATCTCTGCATTGATGAACTCTGACATAATTGTTCATTATACATAAAAACAAATTCTGTTAACATGAAAATACATATGTGGACAAGTTTTTTTACATACACAATTCTTTTGACTTAAATATTTATTTTTGATTAATTTCAAATAAATTTATCAAAAAAAATATTTATTTTTGATTTTTCTTTTGACCTAAATATTTATTTTTGATTTTTTTATATATTATGTAATGAATGTGGAATTTTTATGTATGTAATGAATGTGGAATTTTTATGCGGAATTTTAAAAATTCCACATTCATTACATAATATATAAAAACAAATATTTGAGAAAATGAATAATAATTGCTTTCCTTAAATCTTTTAGGGAAATATGTTTTTAATACAATGTCAGGTTTCTTTTCCTAATACAGTGGACATATTCAACAAAGAGTTAACAGAGCGTAATGTTCGGAAAAAACTTGCTTAGCAAAACAATCCATTATACAGTTTTTATAATATTTCAAAGATTACTCCACTTGACAATAAAAACGTAATATATAATAAAACGTCTCTCTCCATTAATTCAAATAATAAATAAGTAATAAGTATCTCTCCATTAAATAGATAACAAAATACAACACAGATTTCAATCTGATTTCATAAATTTCAATATTTAAAATTTCATGTATTTTAAAAACTACTGCACACTCCAAATATTATATACATATATGCCAGAAATATATATTTCTATTTGTGTATGTACGAAGAAATAATGCATGAGTAAAATCACATATCTAATTCATTTTTTGAGTAGACTGATTAGTTTTAATGCACGCATATGTATAACGATAATCATAAGTTCTTGCTACTATACTATAACACTAAAGAGAAGAGTCGTAAATATTTTGTAAAAACTTCCCCAAACCCATTCACATAGCATTTGCAACATACGCATTGGTTGGTATGATATGATATTGGTAAGTATGATAACAAAAAATAACCAGTACGGCGATAAATAGCCAATTACAATAACCCTTCATTCGTCAGTAGCACTCGTGTGTCGAGAGTATTTGCCCTGAGGCCGGTAAATATCCGGGTAAACCTCCTTCGTCGGGACTCAGATATCAGACAGATTCAGAATATGTACATAGACAATCTTTGGATCTGTCTAGTTCGTCTGTCTGAATCCGTGTAGTAGTTTTATACTAATACCTTCTTCAAAATACAATGTGTCAGTTGCCTCACAGATCTAGATAAAGCAAAATTTAATCAAATTGTAAAACCTAATTTACCTAATAACTTAATTGCCTAATTTGATAATAAAAGCTATCCCCCATGTTCCAGCAGAAAGTAAATTTGCTGTTTGAAAATTTGTTTTCATAAAGTGTTACTACTGAAATTTGTATGATATTAAGGCTACTTACCTATATATATAGGAAACATTATGTAAGAAGTTATTTGGAAAGAAGAAGATTTAAAAGAGCTTATGGATATCGACTTGGGAGAGAAATCGCATGTGTGTGAGGAATGCAAACGGTCGTTTAAATCAAAGCGTAATTTAAAGCAGCATATGCTTATTCACACAGGGGTGAAGTCTTATGCGTGTGATATATGCAACAAGTATTTTAGGTTTAAGTGTAATTTAAAGACACATATCCTAATTCACACAGAAAGGAAACCTCATGTGTGTGAAGTATGTAACAAATCCTTTAAACTAAAAGGTCAGTTAAATGATCATATGCTTATCCATACTGGATTGAAGCCTCATGTTTGTGATGTGTGCAATAAGTCATTTAGACAAAAGGGTCATTTACAGAAGCATCTACTTATTCACACAGGGCAGACACCTCATATGTGTGATGTATGTAAAAATTCATTCTCACGAAAGGATCAGTTAAACCAGCATATGTTTGTTCACATGTTAGACAAACGACATGTGTGTGAGGTATGTAACATGTCATTTAGTCTAAAACATGATTTAAATTTGCATGTGCTTATTCACACAAAAAAGTCTCATGTGAGTGAGAAGTCATGTAATGTAAAATGTGATTCGAATTCTTATGAGCATATTCACTTGAAAGAATCTTTTGTGTGTGAGGTATGTGACAAGTCATTCAGACTAAAGCGAGTTTTAAATATGCATGTGCTTATTCATACCAGAGAGAAGCCTCATGTCTGTGATATTTGTAATAAGTCATTTAGGCAAAAGTATGATTTAAACGTACATATGCTTCTTCACACGGGAGAGAAACCACATTCATGTGAAGTATGTAATAAATCCTTTAGGCTGAAAATGCAATTAAATTCTCATATGCATATCCACACAGAACAGAAATCTGTTGTGTGTGATGTCTGTAATATGTCATTTACAGAGAAGAGTGCATTAAAGACACATAGGTTTATCCATGCTGGAGAGAAAATTTATCTGTGTGAAGTATGTAATACTTCATTTAGACGTAAACGTAGTTTAAGCGAGCATATGCTTGTTCATACAGGAGAGAAACCTCATGTGTGCAAGGTATGTAACAAAGCATTTCGACAAAAAAATGGTTTAAAAGCACACATGCTCATCCACACTGGAGTGAAAACTCATGTATGTGAAGTGTGTAGCAAGTCATTTTCACATAAGGGTAGTTTAAACAAACATATTCGTCTTCACACAGGAGAGAAACCTTATTCATGTGAATTATGTGCAAAGTCATTTAGAGAAAACAGTACTTTAAACAAGCATGTGCTTGTCCATACAGGAGAGAAACCTCATGTGTGTGAGTTATGTAACAAGGCATTTTCACGAAAGAGTCATTTAAACAGACACATGGTTGTGCACACTTAAGATAAATCTCTTGTGTGCAGGTATATAGCTTAGATACAAGAGGGATTTAAACTAACATATACTTACTGTACAGGAGGAGCACATAGTTTATATTTGTAATCATCTTTTAGTGGCAGTGTGTTTTTGTGAATGCGTGGTCCTGGATTTTTTAAAATATTTTTTACTAATAGTGTTAATAAGTAGTTACTTTTGCTATTCTAAGTGATTTTAATAACTTAAGCTTTATACAATATTAATTTTATGTAATAGTACATTATATAGTTTTGCGTGCTAGATTTCCATATTCATCCGTATTCGTTTAAACATCGAATGCATTTACTCTAGTTTGCACATTTTACATAGCATTGTTTTGAGTATTTGTTTCGTATAGAATATTAGGAATTCTTTATTTTGACTAAAATATTTCTTTCTAATAGCTTATTTGAATGCAGGATGTTTGGACACTGCATTGTGCTTGGTTGCAAAACTTAATTACGACAAAAACGACACTTAAAATAAATCTCATATGTATAAGTATATAGCAAGCCTTTAGATATAAGAAGGATTTAAACAAATAAGTGCTTACTTGTACAGGATAAAGAGCAAATAGTTTATGTTTGTAATCATTCATTTGATCGGGAGAATTGGGATAGACACACTTCTTTACACAGAACATAATTTGAATTAATGCATATACATTGCACACACAAAAAAAGGGACAGTTCTGTATCTCCCGTTCTACTGGGCCAAATTCAAATTGCGTTTTTCATGTCTCGAAAGCATGAAATGGGGATATGTATTAGATTTATATATAGCATTGTTTTAATATAGGTACTTTGACACAAAATCGGATTTTTTCTGAAATGACATGCTCCTTTTTTTCCATATTTCGATTTTACGACTCAAATTATACCAAATTTTGTAAGTAGTTTTTTTAAAAATTAGCTTTAAAAATTTTAGCTCCTCGGTGTTAATTGAATTTGATATATATTTATTACTATCTCTTATTTTATCAAATGTACTTGATTCCTTCTTCCAGAATTTGAAATTTAGGCTTAATCCAAATATAATTCATACATTTTTAATTTTTTATTATAAAAATTTGTATTTTTTATAAATTTTTCAAAAACGTTTTGTTTTGTTTTGACCTATAAAATTTTTAATATCATCTTAAAGTACATGTATTTCTAAGCGTATCTATAAAAAAATTAGAGTTTTATATTCAAAATTCCCTGAGATAGTACGCGAATTTACATTTTGGCGCGTTTTGAAATTTGGGGTATTTAATATAAGCGAATAATAACGAAAATGTGGTTTATGCACTTAAAATATGAATAAGATTATTTGAAAGAATGAATGATGGACCTCTATTCCTTTCATGCATCAATTAAAAATGAGGAAAGTAAGGTTACTATAAATTAAGAATTCCGCCAAGTGAATTATTCTTGGTGCAAACTAAAAAAAATCTGCCAAGATAAATTTTGAAATTTTGCCATAAATTTCTCACAAAAATTTAAGGTACTATTCCGTTTTGAGGGCCGTAAAAAAATTGCAGCGAAAATGTATGCGCAAAAGCACCAAATCTAGCAAACGGGCCCATTTAACAGCGAGCCAAATCTAGCGTACGCGCTGATTTCAGATTGCGTAAGTTTAGATAGTTCTGTATTTCTTAGAAGCCATTGAAATACTAATTTAATTTTTAAATCCTTTTTTGATATCCTATGGATTTAACAATTTGGGAATTGTCATGACGAAAAGTCGGCAATAAAATTTTGGGTAAAGTGCAGAGTCACCCACTGCTTGACGCATTTTTAAGAATTGCACATACTCAGTATCCATGTGCACATCGACCTATTTTCACTTAAAAAGAAAACCTAGAGTTGCACAAAAATGGCACTGCGCACACCCTTTTCTTTATTTATGTACACATCGACTTATTTCCACTTAAAAAATAAAAGAAAATTGAGAAAAATCAAATTTTTTTTACTCTTGTAAAAAGCGGCAAACAAATAAGTGAGCGATTCTGCACTTTACCGATAATGTTTTCAAAGAAAAGGCATCATTCATTATAGAAAATTACGTTTGAACAACCAACGAGATGAAATTATGTTTTTTAGCGATAACTCGGTATCGAAAATAGCGATGCAGGCATCCATTCAGTTATGTTTAGCCAATTTTTTATATAAATTATAATAATGATCTGAAGTAGTTATTTACTCTTATGCTTCCATTCAGTCGTGTTTAGCCTTTTTCACATAAATTATAATAATAAAAAAGTAGTATATGAAATTAACCTTTCATCTAAATTAAAATATCAATCTTAGATAGTTATTTACTATTATACTTCCTTTCTTGCCGCAATTATTTTTGGCAGCATTGGCATCAAGAATAGTTTGGCTATTTTTTATGGCCCTCAAAACCGAATAGTACCAAATTTAATATCTAGGCATAATTTGAGTTGTAGAATTGAAATATGGAAAAAAAGTTATGTATTATTTCAGGAAAAGTCTAATTTTGTGTCAAAATACCTATGTTAGAATAATGCTATGTGCAAATATAATATATATCCTAAGTCGTGCTTTTGAGACATGGAAAACGCAATTTGAATTTCGTCAATAAGCCCAGTAGAACGGGCGATACAGAACTGTCCCATTTTTCTTTTGTGCAGTGTACATATGTATACTAAATATGTATGCATATGTACATTAAATTATCCATAAATTGGATATTGCAACGTCAAAGTTATGGTTAAAAAGTCAGTTTCAGGTTGTGCCACAATAATAATATACAGATTGAGGAAATACAAGTTCTTTTCCCTCTTCCTTGTGACTCTTAAATGTTTTTATGTAATAGTCAGTATTCATTGTCTAGCCTTGTGTGTTGTATTAAAATCAGTCTTATTCCTAGCTTTATTGCATATGTATAGTATTCATTGCAGTAATTTTGCATGTATTTTATAATATTTTTATTGATTAAATCTTATTTTCTTAAAATAATGTCATAATAAATGAATATTATATAATTATAATCATAAAAAAGTTAAATATGTTTATAATATTGAAATTTGAAGGTATTCTTTTAAAAAATATTGTTTCAGTGTACAAAAGAAGGCCTTTTGATTTGGTGCTACGACAATGCTACCAGTTTTCAGGTAATCCAAAATCGAATCAGTTTCCCCAACAATATGGCAGCCATTTTATTGTTATCTGCCAATATTCTTCTTAAGTTTAATCTGAGTAGAACTTCTTATTGAATCTGATTAGAACTCTTGGAAACTTTTAATCTATTAAACTTTATTCAGCTATAGAACTTTCACTTAATCTTGAACTAATGAAATTTATTAAAATCAAATTGAAATGTATATCAAAATTTAGCTCAATGTAGCATGTAAATGCAAAGAAGACTGTTAATAACTTTCACTGTCATGTAAAAATATTCATTGTAAGAATGATCTTCTCAATGAATAATTTCCACTGGGTGGGCTTTTTTCATTAGGTATCATCTTAGGTCAGAAGCCCTCTCAGTGGTGCAAAGTGATCGAGGCTACATGATTTGTAGTACATGTATCATGTACTGTAAATCACATATTTTGAGTTATTAGAATTTTAATTGCTGTTAATTGAACTTTGATTTTTGTTTGCTGGCTAGTTCAAATTAATCAATATCCCATAACTTCCATGAAAAAATACATTTGGGAAGATAAGTGCTCTTTTTTCCTCCCATGATTTAAAGCAAAAGGGTTAAGCCATTCATGGCATCCTAAAAAAATCACCAAAAATATCAAAGGCACACTATTATAAACTTTTACAAAAATTTTTATATAAATATTTGAAATTGCATATTTTAAATAGTTTTTAACTTCCTTGAAAAATTTATCAAGATTTAACCCACGAGCGTGCAATGAATAGACCCGCCCGATTAAATAAACCTTTCTAAAAGCGCCCCTATTTTTCCCAAGTGGTTGTGGTTCAGTGTAGTCTCTTCCAAGGCCATTCTCCTTATGTGTCCGACGTTTTTCGCCGGAAATTTTATTCAAAGTTTTGTTTTAATCGGATCGGGTCATTTAGACCCAGCGCGCCTATTCGGTAAGATAGTTCATTTCTGGTAGCACACAAAGCTGCAAACATGTCGCATAATTTATCCTATAAGGAAGAAATGTTACGTTTGCAAAAATTATTAAATATATCAACTGTTGAAGACTCAATTGAAGAAACTGATGATGAAAGTTATAATGAATTTTTTAGTTCTCATGATACTGATTCAGAAATCGAGATGCATTCTGAAAACAAAAATGAGAATGACATTTATTGCTTTATTGGAAAAGGCTCAATGGTAAAAAAAAAAAAAAAAAAAAAAAAATTCCTAAAGCTGATGTTAGAACTCCTGCTCATAATATTATTACTAAATTGCCTGGAAACATCGGCAAGGCAAAATATGTGCAGACCCCAAATGAATCGTGGGAACTAAGTGAAAAAATGTTGCTGAAAGTCATCAGTTATACAAATATTTATATTGCATCTATTTGTGACAGCTTTCAAAGAGAGAAAAATATGTTCGTAACACAATTCTAACTGAAATTCACACTTTTATAGGTCTTTTTTATTTTTGTGACATAACTCATCTCGGTACTATTCCGTTTCGAGGACCGTAAAAAATTGCAGCGAAAATGTATGCGCAAAAGCGCCAAATCTAGCAAACGTGCCCATTTAACAGCGCTCCAAATCTAGCGTACGCGCTGATTTCAGATTACGTAAGTTTATATAGTTCTATATTTCTTACGAAGCCACTGAAATACTAGTTTAATTTTTTAATCCTTTTTTGAATTTAAATCCTTTTTTAATATCCCATGGATTTAACAATTTGGGAATTGCCCATGACGAAAAGTTGGAAATAGAATTTTGGGTAAAGTGCAGAATCACCCACTGTTTGACGCGTTTTTAAGAATTGCACATACTCGGTATCAATGTGCACATCGACCTATTTTCACTTTAAAAAAAATCCCAGAATTGCACAAAAATGGCACTGCGCACACCCTTGGCTTTATCTATGTACACATCGACCTATTTTCACTTAAAAAGTAAAAGAAAATTGACAAAAATCCAATTGTTTTTACCCTTGTAAAAAGCGGCAAACAAATAAGTTAGCGATTCTGCACTTTACCGAGAATATTTTCAAAGAAAAAGCATCATTCATTATAGAAAATTACGTCTGAACAACCAACGAGATGAAATTATGCTTTAGCGATAAGTCGGTAGCGAAAATAGCGATGCAGCAGTTATGTTTAACAATTTTTATATAAATCATAATAATGATTTGAAATAGTTATTTACTCTTATGCTTCCATTCAGTAATGTTTAGCCTTTTCATATAAAATTAATAATAATAAAAAAGTATTATATGAAATTAACCTTTCATCTAAATTAAAACATCAATCTTTAGATAGTTATTTACTATTATGCCTCCTTTCTTGCCGCAATTATTAGGGTTGCCGCAATTATTTTTGGCAGCATTGGCATCAACAATAGTTTGGCGACATTTTACGGCCCTCGAAACTGAATAGTACCCTCATCTCATGTAAATGTGTGGGATCTACAGGCAACAGACAGAATCGGCTTGGAAATTTTCTACAAAACTATGTCCTACAAATGTTTACATGGCTAATCTTTGGAATATGGTAACAGGTAGTTTGGCGACATTTTGGTAAGGCGATAAAGGTTACTAGCTAGGACTTTAGCAGTGTACATGGATAAAGTAAAGAGTGTGTGCAATGCCATTTTTGTGCAATTCTGGGATTTTTTTTTAAGTGAAAATAGGTCG